CCCGACTCCTCTCTCTTGTCGGTTTTGACCTCCTGTCTCTTTATCAACTGTTATTTCACAAAATTCGACACATCAAACAGGCGCGAATGTGCGTCTTGATTGCAGCAAAAGTAATAAACAACGAGCAAATAAATTTTTGCGCGCACGCGCGCGCGCATATGACATGCGCAATAATATATAAATAACAAATCATTATTTGAAATTCAAAAGCTTTGTAGAATATCAAATTGCGTGTTGAAAGACCTTCAATACATTATCCTTCGACGTTACTTGAGGACTTCTGTGCGTCATTTTTAACTGATTTATAATACACCATTTAGCCACCACCGATTACATAATCGGTGGAAGATCCTTCAAGAATTCACGTGAGCCGAAACGATATAATGTCACGCGTGTGTGCGTTTTGCGAGCGACAAAAAAAAATTAAAAATTTAAATTTTAAAACAATTTAAACAAGTTTGTGATGCGAGAAATTTGCATCTCGTTTCGGACGCCCCCGGAGAGATAGATTTACAACACAAATTTGCGAGTAAATTACGCATATGTGTAAAATAAATGCAGCCAAAGGAATTTCTGCATTTACAAGCGGGTGAGGGAGATTTGACAATTGCTTAATTAACATGTACGTTTGAACGAACGCCGACACCCGACCTTGACTGTCCGACGAACTGACTTATACACCATCTCGCGCGTCAGGCGATCATTAAGGTCGAGATATTTAAATTGAATTTACGAGATCTTGGCCCCCGGGGCTACCTCATAGACTACTTCGCGGAGGTTGAAGAACCAGACGATCGAGGAACCGAGCGGTAAATATACACAGACAAATGCGAAGAGCCCGTCATCCATCATAATGGGAGGCAACGTGAAGTCTATGAACGTTGAATGACGAAATTTTCTGTGCCCGCGCGATCGCGCGGTTCAAACTTACGGACATAGGAAGAGAGAGAAGAGAGAGAGAGAGAGAGAGAGAGAAAGAGAAAAAGAGAGAGATGTACAGTAAATATATCAATTGATCGCGATTGACACGAGAGGACTCGCGGTAATTAATCATTGCTTCATCAAAAGTAATTGAACGCCGCGAAAGAAGCGGCGGCGGCGGCGGCAGACTCCGCAGCGATGACGTCGTGCGGACGAAAAGTCCTCTCTCCTCGGTCATTAAACAGATCCTCTCGTCTGTTCGCGTCGAAAATGGTGAATTCCGGTTCGAGGATTTAGACACGCCGGATTGCAACCTCCGCTATACACATATATGAGAGCGCGCGTCTCTAAAATTCCGCTGATGATGATCTCTCGGGTGGGAGCGTGTGTGTAGTATATACGCGATTTATACAGCCGGCAAATGTACGTCGTCTCTCTCGGGTTCTTAAGTATTGCCTAAGTAAATCGACGTCGATTAATCAGAAATGACAGGAGAACTAGTTGGTTGCCCAGCGGGCATAGTTCCTCGCCGGTTTCGTAATTAGAGGCGCTAATTTCGCATACCTGCGCACATCACACACAGTCCAGGCCGACGTAATTTCTGGATTTATCGCCATTATTTTTCTTGAAGGAAGCGCGCGCATCTCGTGCGAGAAAGAAAAAGAACGTGGGAGATAAAGAGATAGATAGATAGATAGAGAGAAAGAGAGAGAGAGAGAAGGAAGAGACAACGGGCGGGAGGAGATTCCGGCTGTTCGCATTTAATTCAGCAGGACGAACTTTGACACGTCGTTTTGCGCCGCTCGCGTTGCACGTAGCGTGTAATTCGGAATTTCTTTCCGACGAATATTTTTCCTTCAAATCCACCGCTCGAAAGTAATAATAAAGTAATAAGTCGCGCTCGCACTTTCGCGGCGCGACTAAGTATCCTTCTGTCAATTATAACCGCCAATTTTTATTTGGTGCCGTCGTGAATTTGCATCGAGAAATTCTTTAATTGAATCAAGTCAAGTTGAACGACGAGAAATCTCTTCCAAGTTCTCTCGAGGCAGGAGAAATCGGTCTATATACCGCGAATATTTAATCTGCCAATCAATGAGATTTCTCTCTCTCTCTCTCTCTCTCTCTCTCTCTCTCTCTCTTCCTCGCCGATTCTTTGGCGATTAAATAAATAAATTCACAGGAAAAAAATTTTAATCGAAGATCATAAAACTCGCGGTTACGGCAACAATATGTTCGACCGAAAATTTATAGTTTTCTATTTGTCAAGTCACGTTTGTTATCCATAAACTTCTCAACTCTCTCGAAGCAAACGATCTTCGCTATCAATCAGAGGAGTCGATCGATCTATTGATAAAGAGACGGCGCGATTTGTGTTCCACACACAATGACGTTACTCTCCGTGACAGAAAACCTTGGCTAAACTAATCGCTCATTCGGCGACATGTAATAATGCTCGCTCGAAAGAATTGCCGCGTTAAAATCAGAATTTTATTCTCAATCCCAGCCTTTGTAAATTATTTATTTATTTTCGTTGTGTCAAGACATTATTGTGACAATTCTGAATATTTTTAAAATTAGAAATTTTGTGATATAGAAATTCTAAGAAATATACACAATTGCGATTTATAAACAATTCATATTCACGTCTCTCAGCGGTACTTAATACATTTTTCCTTTTTCATCTCGTCTTCTCGCGCCCTTCCTCGAAAATTCTCGTCGAGTTTGCTCGAGTCGCGCTATAAAGGAACGGAGGATAAAAAAATAGCACGCAGTAGACTATCGCGTTACGTGGACTGGTGCGCGAACCTGACATCCACAAGGACGCATTTCGAAAGTGGGAAAATAAAAAAAAAAAAAAAAAAAAAAAAGTATCGCGACTCCAACCCGTTAAAGGACGCGCCAAGTCAGCCGTTGAAGCCTCGAGCGAGAGACCGTCGATCGATTACCGAATATAAATCACGATTCACGACAACCGTAAGACGATCGTTAACCATAGTCGCCGTTAGCGCGAGATTATAACACTTCCTGCTTCTGTTAAATACGCGCGACGCCGCGCGCTTTTAGAAAACTGTATGACATAAATCAAAAATCCTCGCAAATCCTCTCTGTCGACGCGTCACGTCGTTACTTCTCTTCGCGTATGAAATTCTTGCTGCGCGCAAGAGATGCGAGAAAATCGAGTGCCAATCGGTCACTTTGCAGATATTTTTATTTCGGCCGAAAAGCGCAAAGTGCAATCTTTTAAAATCTCAACCTCGCGTGAGAAAATACAAGCGCGAGAATACTAATCGCGATCGTTGCGCGCATCGTTTCGTACGCTCGAGTCTCGAGTGAGAGAGAAAGAGTCAACGTTTCTCTCTGGACTGGAACTAACGAATATCCACGCTGAGGAGATAACGAGAGTCTGTCATCTTTCGAGCCCTTGCTCGAAGGACCCTCGGTCGTGGCGATACAACGAGAAAGAAAGAAAAAAAAAAGAAAAAGAGAGTGCCTCAGAATGGAGCCCAACGTTTTACGTAATAACGAGAGCGAATGCCGGGAAACTGGCTTCTCCTCTTCGTCGCGTGTTCGTCGGAATCGTTTCTCAGACTCACCGACACGTCACGTTCCCCGGTGCGATACCCTTCACCCCCACCGCGGAAGACAATTCCCCCCGTTGCTCCTTTCTACGAAAAGCCTAAAAATGTCCGCGCTGATCGTTTTCGCCACGGAGCGGATCACGAATCGTGACCGGCGTTATTATTTGGTAACGATGTGTGTTGCGCGCGCGTGTTATTACGGAACGAGACGGCATCAATGCGGCGTCCATCCCGCGAACGGGAAACATTTTCTCGAAAAAAGAGCCGATAGAAACTGGCAGCGGGATCGAAACTAGCGAGATGATTCCCGATCGCGGGGAAAACGCGCGGTTGACCCGAATTCGCGCCGTCTGATTAATTAATTCGCGCGTTCTCGTAACAAACCCGAATATTTTTGAGTAAATTATTTCTCCGGTTACCGGGCGATTGGCAATTTAAAGCAGAAATTTAGTTACGTAATTATGCGACGCATTAGAAATTACGCGAATATATGGCATGCGTAATGATGAGAGACATATGTTGCGCAATCATCGCGATTAATATATTAAAATATTCATTTGAAATTGCGTTTAAATTACATGAGATACATATTATAACAGTACCGGGTCACGCAAGCGTGTGTACGGGCCTAAAAACAAAAAACAAAAAACAAAAAAAAGGCATCGCGGAGGGGAAGAAAGGAATAGGAGGCGCTAATAATCGGCGATCGTCGTCGTGCTGACGAACGACTGGTGCTCGTCCCGATGCTGTCGTGGAAAGGAGCGTAGGAAAGAAAGAAAGAAAAAAAGAAAAAAAAAGAAGTCAAGTGAGATCAGAGAAACTAGAAACTAGCGTGCGTGGAACCGGCAAATGAGACGAGGGAGCGAAAAGGGACGGAGAGGGGGGGGGGGGATAAAGGAAGAGACAAAACGAAACGAGAAGATATATCCAAGCGGGAGAGAGCGAGAATGCTGAAGAGTAGTAGGGAGTCTCTATGCGGTACCCGAAGCCAGTCGGTCGGATATGCCCCGAGGCTAGGCCGTGATAGACAAGGTCAGCCTCTCCCTCCTCCGTATGTGCGTATACACACGATCCGGCTACCGGCAATGCTCTCCTTTTACGCGTTTATTTATTTATAAATATACCGCTCGGTTTTTTAAACGCGCGACGTGGAAAAACAAAAACAAAAAAAAAAAGAGGAACTCACGCGACGCGTTACGCGGCGTTACGAGGGAATCGCAACCGGATCCGATTCCCTTCTTTCTTTCTTTCTTTCTTCCTCTCCGCGCCGAAATATATTGTAAAATAAAACGCCAAGCGCGCGTCACGTGCGCGCGTCGAGCTATCAATTTGCATTTTAGATGAGGAAGCAGACCTCAGATTTTATTTTCAATGGCGAATTCTTCGTGCGTCACATGACGTGTAATGTCTCTCTCCCAAATCGTCGATCGGCCAGTTTCTCGTCGTTTGTTCTTGTTTGTTTGTTTGACGGTATGTTTTTTTTGTTCCCTGTTGCAGATATTCGGTAGCAAGGCAGATCTGCAGCTCCACACACAGATCCACATGCGCGAGGCCAAGCCGTACAAGTGCACGCAGTGCTCCAAGGCGTTTGCCAATTCGTCGTACCTGTCCCAGCACACCAGGATCCACCTGGGCATTAAGCCGTACCGCTGCGATATCTGTCAGCGGAAGTTCACCCAGCTGAGCCATCTACAGCAGCACATCCGCACGCACACCGGCGACAAGCCGTACAAGTGCCGGCATCCGGGCTGCACGAAAGCGTTCAGCCAATTGAGCAACCTGCAGAGCCACTCGCGATGCCACCAAACCGACAAGCCGTACAAGTGTAACTCTTGCTACAAGTGCTTCTCGGACGAACCGAGTTTGCTTGAGCACATACCGAAGCACAAGGAGTCGAAGCACCTGAAGACGCACATCTGCCAGTACTGCGGCAAGAGTTACACCCAGGAGACCTACCTGGCGAAGCATATGCAAAAACACGCGGAGAGAACGGACAAGAGACCGCCAATCATCGGCTCGGGTCTCAGGCCTGCTTTACACGCGATGTCACACCATCAAGAGCACTATTGGCCGAAGGTCAGTCCGGACTCGGTGATCAGCGATCTACACGAGAGGCTGCCGCATCATCACACGGAGTATCATCAGAATCAGAATCCGGAGATGCTGCTGCCGGGACACGGGCATCGCGCTGGCGAATCAATCGAGAACGATTCGAGGCAACAGACGCCCCAGCCCGGCGTGAATCACCATCCCAACAGCAGTTCGGCCTTCACGCCGATTTCGTCGATCTCGATCAACTCGATCTCGTCGATGCAGCATCCGCTTAATCCACTGAATCATCTGCATTACCCCGGCAGCCATCATCCGGCGTCCCGACCGTACCTGTACGAGGCGTTCAACACGACGCAGAAGTCGTCGCCGACGTCCTCGGCTTCCGCCGTCACCCCCGGCACCACCACCAACCAGAACGCCACGTCCTTCCCGAATCAGCTGATCAGTCTACACCAGATTAGGAACTATGCTCATCAGCCGAATCTCGGTAATCTGGGTAACCTGGGGAATCTCGGGAACCTGAGCAATCTCAGCAATCTCAGTGCCACGATGGAGAGCCACGCGTTGTTGGGTGGTCTCAATAAGGAGAAGCAGTAACTCCCCCTCCGAAACTGGGAGGATTGACTACGCTAGAGAATGCCACTCGCGCGCTCTCCGCTCTTCTTCGGTCTCCTTCTGTTTCTTCTGTGTTTTCCGTGAACACAGCACACGGCGCGTCATGACACTCGCTTCATCCGGCTCGATCGTCGTCGTCTCTCTTCCTCCCGTGATCTCTTTAGTGGTCTCTCATTTTATTATATTAATAAATTTATCATTAAGGGTGAATTATTTGTTTATCTCTTTTTTTTTGTAAGGGATTTACGTCCGCTGCCACGTGAGTCCTTCGGCTCCTCGAAATCGTTCGTTTTAATTCCGACGTTTGCCTTTTCTTTTGCGTCAGCATTTATACAATGCCAGATATGTATGGGAGAACGACAGGGTCTCGTTCTCTCATAGATTCGCGCATATAAAATGAGATGAAAAACTTACGTTGCCAGGAAACGAAACACGAGAAACGTGGTTGATTCAAGCGCATTCGAAGACCGACACACTTTTTTTTGTTATTTCGAGAGCTCGCATGATAGACCGATGTATTAGACTCTTCTCTGCTCCTTTCCTCTCCCACCCCATCATTTTTTCACCTTGCTCTTCTTTTTTTGTTGTGTGTCTTCTTTCTTTTTTTTTTTTTTTAACTGTTTACAATCCGTTAGCCGTTTAAGACTGACGTTTGAATGATAAAGTGGAGCACGATTGTGGATTAAACTTGTGTTCGAACGCGAGATGGACGATATACTTTCATGATGCTAGAAAGTGTATCCCTAAGACGACGAAACTGACGTGAGCTGATTTCTTTCTCATTTTATCGAAAACAACTTTTTGCGTTCAGCGATCAAAATAATTTTTCGTTAATAAAAATGAAAAATCATTTTTTTTTATGTGTTATATACACACACACATATATATTTTTAAACACACAAGAGAATCTTCTTTGCTCTTTAAAAAATAAAAAAATTATCTTTTGAAACTTGCGGGTTAGATTTTTTCTTTTTTTTTAATCACTATAGCTGTGTACAAACACATCGTGTAGAAACATTATATACGGACACGCGAAGTATAAAGAAAAAAAAAATAAAGTAAAATAAAGCATCACGCACATTATACAGAGAGTCGCACGGAGACCTTTTTTTTGTAAATAGGTGCTATATAAATAAATGAATGAATAAACAAAGATAACGTGTATTTTTCTGACTTTTTGATTACGTAAAATTTGCGATCAACATAAAACTCTTATTTTATGTTTTATATATATATATATATATACATATATACATACATATATGTATATATACATACACACGCGGAAGAAAAAAAAGATAAAAGAAACCAGATGGGTGAACACACAAATGTAAATGTAGGACACACACAAATCACTTAAAATTACAAGTGCGAAAAATGAATGTCAGAGCGGTGAGAAAAGACACGGACAGAGGAGAAAACTGTAAGAAAGCGCGAAAGACAATACACGGTACAAACACACCGTGTAGAAACATTATATACGGACACGCGAAGTATAAAAAAAAAAAAAAAAATAAAGTAAAATAAAAAGCATCACGCACATTATACAGAGAGCACGGAGACCTTTTTTTTTTGTAAATAGGTGCTATATAAATAAATGAATGAATAAACAAAGATAACGTATATGCATATATTAATGAGTATGACAAGTCAATATATGCATATACATATATATATAAATAAATAAATAAATCTATATATATATATTATACACACAAATATACATAAAGAAATTATCTTCATCGAGATCATCATCTTCATCGGTACCTATATTGTCGCGTCGTCGTCGTTTATTATATTATATATTATTATATTATTATTATTATTATATTATTTTTATTTGCATTATGTTATTATTATACTAATGCTATTATTATTATTATTATTATTATATTATTATTATTATTATTGATTTATTGAATATATTTTGGTCGTCAAATGCATACTTTAGTAGGTGCGTAAGGTAAAGAAGAAACAGACTTTAATCGCTGAGAAGGAATAGTCTAAGTACCTAAATGTGTCTAGATAATTTTTCTTTTTTGTGGCGCACGCGCGCGCGCGCGTTCGCGCGTGGCAACGACGAGAACGAAAAGAGAGGAGGAGGGAGGAAGAAGGAGAAAACATTGTACATGCGAATTATTGTAGATAATTTGTTGTTACGGCGCCGGGACGTGCTCTTCTTCGGGGTTCCCGCGGTAATCACAATCCGCGTGCAAAAGAATTCACAGTTTGAATCGTTGAGTTTTTTCTTTCTTTTCTTTTGTTTTTAAAAAAATAACGTCGCATGAATTCTGCTTTTATTTTTATTGTGGCATTAGCGTAAAGAAATCGCGAAAAAAAAGAAAAAATATGTTGTACACACTGTGCGGTGCCAATTTTTTACTTCCGGATTGTGTATCTTACGTCGTTGATCATGGCGAGAAACGAACCCCGCGCGGAAAACACGTCCGCGCCTTTACCTATGCTCAAGTTGTTTAAAACTATTACGTTGTTATTAAGATGATGATAGGAACAATGAATGAGAGAAGGGGCGAGGGGTTATATTAAATAAATAAATAAATAAACAAATACACGACAACGTTCGAGAGGCGAATCACTTTTTCTTGCTGCGTGGCCACAGACCGGGATTTTTCTTTGTAAAAAAAAAAAAAGAAAAACACGATGTATATTACCTGTGAAACGCTCCAAAGTAAGATAACAAAAAAAATGACCGTAGAACAAATATTAGATAAACAACAGCATCGTGCGTACCAGCGATTAGGTGCAGCATCGTAAAAAAGGAGTTAAAAAAAAAAAAAAAAAAACAACTACAAGAAAGAAAAACGAACACGCGTGCATATCAAGAGAAACCGACAAGAAAAAAAAGGCTGTTCTGTGCCGAATGTGATTGCGTAATCGAACTCCAACGTCCTACGCAGGGGAAAGGATAGACAGATACACACACGCGTGTCATTGTGTTGAGATATATATGGATATATACATACACATACGCACATACACATGTGTATATATTCATACGTATCGGGAACGAAAACGGGATACACACGCACATTCGAGATATTTCTCGCTCAAATACTTAAGACACTCCGAAGAACCCCCGCGCTTTAAATAAAAAAACAAAAAAATGTGATTTCTTCTGCCTATCCTTATTAGTTTCACATTTTGATATTATATTATTATTAATATTTTATTATTATTATTATTATTATTTCGTTTAATAAATTGTCACGTGTTAAAAAAAAAAATAAAGGCAAAGGAGAGTTTCTCGACATGAGATATGATGCTGAGTTATTTTTCTGTTGTCTCTCCAATTGGTTTTTGTGTTGTTTAAAATCAAACAAACAAAAAAACCGACAAAAAAAACTTGCTTTCCTCCCTTCTCTCTCACAATTGTATCCCTCCTTTGAGTCCATCGTTTTTGTCGCCAAGTTTTTTTTGCCACGTTTCATTAGCTGTTAATAAGTTTTCAAAAAACAAGCGACATTTGTTGTTGTTTTTTCTATTCATTCAGTTCGCGGAAAAAAGTGTGAAACAAGAAAATGACACAAATATTTTCGCGATCAATTGTCTTTTTCACACGCGCAATACATTGTTCGCCGCGAATTGTTCGTTGCTTCATCACCGCGATGCAAAAGAGTTGAAGAAAAGCGGTTTTTTTTTCTTCTCGCCGCGCGACTCTCCCTTCGCGCGTGTTATTTTGTTCGCCACTCGAAATCATTTCATCCTTCGCTGACTCTGTCGCAATCCTTCCCGTTTCTTACGTTCGATTACGATATGAATTTTGCGAGACACTCGAGCGCGCTCGCTTCTCGTCGCGCGATCCGCGTGAGCAACTTCGCGGACAGATGCCGTCCAATTATATTCTTTCGCCGTGTGTGCACGTTGTGTGCGCGCACACAAGAGCAAAAGGGAGATCACACGTGTCGTTTATAATGGTTAATGGAAAATTCTTCGTGTCTATATTCTTCCGCGATATCCTCTCGCGCCACAAGAGTTGTTTCGAATATTGAGATGGAGATGAGCGCCGGGATGTTCGTGAACTAAAAAAAAAAATCACCCGAACGTTCTCGCGCGATGTGAGAGACACAAAAAAAAAAAAAGAAAACCGATCGAAGTTGTTCTTCGCATCACTCACGCGCGATCAGTTCCTTCGAATGACAACGATCTTTTGGGAAACGCGAGACAAAAACAATTAGTAGAGAAAAATACACTCTTTTTAGCAATACTTAGCGAGCACGGAGGGAGGGGGCACACGAAGTCTTTCGAGAATGGGATGAGGGTAGTTTCCAAAGACGCCGATTGTGTAAACAAAAAAAAAAAACATGCAAATAAATGTCGCATACGAGAAGCAATAATTTACAGTCCGCGTGAGTCGTCGCGTAATAGGGTATTAAAAAAAATTAAATAAATAAATAAATAAACGGAGAAATTTTTCTCTTCTCGGTACAAATATCGAGAATAAATGTTTGCGAATTGTAAAAACAAGACGTTGATTTGTATAAGTGCAGAGACAAGACATATAGAGACTGTACACCACGATCTCTCCTGTAGCGAGAAATAATCGAGAACTCTTGTACGTACATGTATATTCTTTTAAGTAAAAAAAAAAAAAAGAAAAAAAACAAACGCGTCGATATCGATGATTATTATTATTATTATATTGTTCGTAACAGCAACGAGATAATTCCATCGCGACTAATTCCATCTCTCAAGTGAAAAAAAAGGCTTCAACGCGCAACCTCACTCTTTATATATCGTTCTCTCTTTCGATAATAGTTATTATTATTACTAATATACTTCAGGAGTATACACAAGTTGTAAATGAATGTTTCTACAACCACGACATATACACCTTGCGTAACCATTAGTCGTCGAGAGGAAAAGCGAGGAAATTATTAATGTGTATGTGTGTTTGCGCGCGCGCATGAATCGACCGTATGTGTGTGTATGTGTGATATGTGTTCTGCATCTTGTGCGCGACGCATCTTGTCACAGAAGAAACCAAGAAAAATCGCTTGCGAGACACGATGAAAGAAACTGATAAGGAAGAGTGCGTGCGTGCGTGTGTGTGCGTGCGTGTGTCTGCGCGCGAGAAAGAGAGAGAGAGAGAGAGTGAGAGAAAGAAAGAAAGAGCGTACACAAGGAGAAAACAATATATTAATTATTGCGTGGTACGAACAGAACTGTGATATTTTATTGTATAACTTTGCGGGAGAGAGATGAAGAGAAAAATATGAAGAGAGAGAAAAAAAAAGAGAGAATCTCTGCGGAGAATATTACTATTATTGCGAGAGCGGGAAGAAGGAGGAGAATATTACTGTATTTTACAAAAAAAGTGCATCCTTAAAAACGCAATTTAGATGCAATTGCGCGGGAAAAACTGTATATACACACACAAACCTGGTGTCTCCTTTAAAAAAAAAAAGAAAAAAAGATACACTTACATTAGGGTATGTTCTCTTTTGATTTTCGAGTTTTTGTTTTTTTTTTCTTTTTAAAGTAAGTTCGAAACTCCGCGTTAAAGCGAAAGAAAAGAAAATCTAATCTAACGAAAGAGACGTTCTTTATTGTTCGATAGAAGGCAAGGAAGAAGGGAAGCTCTGTCCAGTCGTTCTCGCGACTTTTTTTGCGTGAGGATGTTACGCTCGGTGTTCTCGGGCCGTGCGATCCCGCGGGCCTCACGTCTGATCGTTTCCTGTTTGTAAAGATATTATATATGTATAAAAAAATATATATACATATACATGTATAAACTAAATGTTTTGTGAAACAATCGTGTGCACGGAGCCGAGCGACCGTACCGCGACGACGTATCGAATGATCGCAGAAAGAGAGAGAGAAAGAGTGAGAGAGAGAAAGAGAGAGAGAAAGAATAATAATTAGTGTAAGCACACACTGTGTTTCTGTAAACCTCGGAATACCGAGCGATAAACCGATCGTCCCTCCGCACTCTGTCCTTTCTACCTATCCCCCCGCCGGATCCATCTTTCAACTCCCCCTCCCTTTGTACATCTTCTCTTTCGCGCTCCGTTCCCCGCTTTTTCAAGTAAAACGCAGAATAAAAGGCAGTGAGGAATGTTTCCCGACGCGATAAAACGGCGATCAAGGAGAAGTTGCGTGAAAAAAAGGGGAGCAACGAGCGATGCGCAAGTTACGACGTGGCGAGAGAACTGAAAATGCGCGCGTCGCGACTATTCCTCAAACTTGAAACAGAAAAGAAATTTTGGAATTACATTGTGTTTTACTTTTAATTAACTTTTTATTAAACATCTTCTTGATTTTATCACACATTTGGACGCAGATGCGGCCGTCCGCTCGTTCAATCTAATTTACAAGGTGGGAGGATACCATTTGAACGCAAAAACGCGGGGACGGCCGCGTCGGGCGCTAAATGCGTACCGAGAACACGCGGGGCTTTTATCCCGCCGGGCGCAGGTGTAATGCAATACTGATCAAAATATTTTCAATAAAGCCGCAATTTCCAGATCGCAAAGGGCAAAAGGACGTAACTATCGATTTTCAACGGTGCGCCTTTCGCCGCTACGAAACAAACTCTCTGTTCTCTTTAGTCGCACGCGCGCGCGAGAGCTTATTTTCCTCCCGCTCTCCCTGTATTTAAAATGGAACAAGCGGGATATGCTTTGCGGGGAAGACGAAAATACAGAAAGGGTTGGGCGTTTTTATTTCGGAAATTGAACTCTAATCACGTTCCGTGTGCGATGTAATCGAAAAGAAACGGGCACGTAAGGGATGATTTTCCGGTTTTTCGATTTTCCGTGTCTATTGTCGCGCACGACAATACAAACGCGACAGAGCTCGTTGCTCCCTAGTGTAGCCCGGAATTCGCGCGCGTTCGAGAATCGATCTCTCGCCGATTTTCTCGGACGACGTGCGAATTTCGTCGCGATCGAGCAAATCGAAGAAATTCTCTCTTTCTCTCTCTCTCTCCCTTCCTCTCTCAGGCGCGAAGTCTGCGAAGAAGCTGTCCGGTACGATTCTCGATCGCGAGAGAGACGAGGAACATTTCGCGATTGCTTGCGCGTTTCTTGCGTTGAGAGAGAGAGAGAGAGAGAGAAGAAGAAGTCGCAGAGATCGGCGACTTTAAACCCGCGACTCACATCCCCCGCGCGCCGCTACAACCAACACACTTCTGAGTTTCACCGAGTTTCGCGCGCGCGTACGTGTCGTGCGAAATCGATTGTAAATAAAGACCCTGAGCCGACATGTAGCGCGCGCAATACCGAGTAATAATTTATTAGTGTTAAGTGCGCGTCGAACATACGTACGGAGCGATCGTATGAAGGAGCCACGAGACCAACGATCAAGCGAGAAAATTGTCGTACAGTAGAACTGATCGAAAAACGCTTAAAAAAAAAAAAAAAAAACAAAAGAAACTTTTCCATCAATGAGAAATCGATCTGATATTTTTTTGTATCGATCGTTGCGTAATACGTGCGTACAAGTTTTTTGTGTTACTTTGATAGTAAAAAAGAAAAAAAGAAACGGAGAGAGAGAGAGAAAGAGAGAGAGAGAGAGAGAGAGAGAGAGAGAGAGAGAGAGAGAGAGAGAGAGAGAGAGAGAGCCCCCTCGTCCCTCGCAGAGTTTGTCTCCGTTGCACATCTCCTAATATTAGATATATTGTAATTGTCGAATCTCTCTCGCTTGTCGAGCGACTGTCCGAGATTTTTCCCCAACCGTTTTTCTCTCCGAAGTCTACCCTTCCGCTCCCACCCCGCATACTGGGGTATGTTCCAAAATCTTATCTTGGGAACCGAAAACTATAGTACACGCGACGTAAAATATAGCATTTTAGTAACCAAAGTAGGATTTTGGAACGTACCCCAGCTCGGCAAAAACTAACCGTACACACACACACACTCTCACACACACACACATACACACACACACGCGCGCGTACACTTACCCTTCCGCCCCTCTCTCCCCGAAACATCGAAAACTCATCACACACTAATTGTTCGTCCTTTTTAAAACAAATATAACAGAACTTACGTCTTAAATCTTGCGAGCGTGCGAGACGGAGTGTCACTGCAGTGGAATTTTTTTTTTTTTTTGCGCGCGCGCGTTTTGCCGATCGAGGTAAAAGAAACGCGCGCAAAAAAATTCCTCCTCCTCCTCCCCTTGGTCCCAATTGGAGGAGGCGGTTAAAAACGACGATGTGTATGTGTGTGTTACATGTATGTACATCATGTCGGTCTACACCCTAGAGCCATTGCACTGGCGTGCCGTTTCGTCGCGGTCTTTTGTAACTCCCTCTTGCCACTTGACTTAATCGAGCGTTACGAGCGATTGAATCGCGCGATCCCGGGGAGACCCGCTTCGCGAACGAACAAAACGCAAGTGTCGTTCGACAACGGACGTGGTTTCGTCATACTCCGCGATTACCGGCGAATCGAGGACTCGCGCATATCGCGACGATGAGTAATAATATGCGATCTATCAAAAATCGAGGAGAAAAAATATCTCTCGATTCGAAATATGTCGAAGGAATTATTACGAGATCTCTCGTGTTGCGCAAAATAAAAAATAAAATAGATTCGATTTTTACGCTTGTGAAAATTATAGCGCGCGCACAGACTGCGCCATTTTGTTGTAGCGATATTATGAGACCGAGTAACATTCGCGAGATAAAGTCGTTTCGATTTATCAAACGCGTTTCGAAAGCATCGAGGCATATAATTGTGACTGCAATTGTAGTGTAACGCATGATTTTCAGTCGCTATAACACAGAGACGAGTAAAAAAAAACTTAAACAAATCACGTACCTTTGCGAGCAACCGCGTCGTTTCCTGTCTTCGAATATCTCATCGAAGATGTTGCGCGCTTCGTGATGTGTGTCTTCTTCACATCGAACACTTCGTCGAGAACTTTTGCCTTTGTTAATTTATTTGCGCACAAAGAAACAATTAGCGATTATTACACGCGCGTAATTGAACGCCGAACGCTTATTTGAAGTTACGCAATGGTTGCCGGTATCGCCGCTGGAAGCGCGCTTGCTTGACCGAGCTGGTGCTGCCATCTAGCGTGGAACGCGCGCGACTCGCAGCGAATCACCGCAATCGGCTCACGGTGGAGGAAGAGCGACGCGCATGCGCGAAGCGCGACTGTCATCGCGAACAGCTGATGGCCCGCGAGCAGCTGAGCGGACGTGTTGCGGATCAATCGTATGCGCGTCGCTGTCAAATATATGAACCACCGCAGGAGTAGTGCAATTTCCATTAAGCATATGAGTAACTAAACAACAACGAATTTATCATGGCGTTTCTGGAGGTGAGTTCCGCGCGCTTTCTCGTCAAAAAAAAAAATAATTTATCTCGTTTGTTCTCCCTCGTCGCATCTCGATCTTTGTTGTTTCCTCTTTCGATGTAACCTAAAATGTCGCCGATATCTTGAGCGTTTGTTTGCGCTGTTTCCAGTGGAGACGCTTCAATTTTTTCGACCTGAAGAAGGAGGTTGACGCGGGGAAGATCGCCAAAGCATTCGGAGTAAGATGATCGTTGTTTTTTTTTTTTTTTTTTACGATACTTTACTTACTGAACAATTGATCGCGAGTGGATGAGATCCACGTTGTTCTTATCGTTGATTTGTGTTCGCGCAGGATGCGCAAGTTGCGGCGGCCACCAGTGGCAACGGCAACTTGGTCATCGGGGATAACACGGGTGGCGTACACTTGGTGAACAGGACGTACGAGGTCACGACTTTTCGGGCTTACGAGATCGCGCTGGTGCTGGCACAGCAAGTGCAACATTCCACTTTTCTCTTCACTATTGGCGTAAGATGAGACTCGTTGCAATTAATTCCTGCAAAGTAACTTCATTGATTTAATTTTTTTCTTATCACATACTTAACAGGAAGACGAGCCTGGTTGCAATCCTACCATAAAGGTTTGGAATTTGGCTAAACTTGACAAGCAAGGCAATCCAACCTGTGTACGAATAAGCAGAGCCATACCCAGTTACAGAGCAGTGCCGGCGACTGCTCTGTGTGTTCACACTAGTCTCACCTTGATGGCCATTGGGTTTGGAGACGGTTCTATCATGTTGTACAGGTGAATATAAACATTTTATTTAAACTAATGAATGATTTTATTTAATTTTCTGTTAGATAATATATCTGCATTTGAACTCTTTAGAGGGGATCTGACTCGGGAGAGAAAGAATAAGATAAAAGTTCTGAAGGACGCCAATCTGTCGATTACTGGCCTCGCTATAAGAGCGACCGGCAAACAGACACATCTGTTTGTCGCCACCCAAAACAACGTGTTTTTATATAATATTACCGTTAAGGATAAGGAATTTAAATCGACTCTGGATACCATGGGCTGTGCTCGGAAGTGCAGCGTGCTCGCGGAATCCATGCCGGACAGCCATTTTATGATCGGACGTAGCGACGTGAGTGAAAACACACATTCTTATCATTTTTATTCATCAAAAGTGTGTTTCAGATCAATTTTGTATTGTGACACTTTCAGGCTATTTATTGTTACACGCCAGACGGTAGAGGGCCGTGTTATGCTGTAGAGGGTCAAAAGATAATGCTGGAATGGTTTAGAACGTACTTGGTGATAGTAGCAAAGGAAGCGGCGAATGTTCCAAGAACAACGACCACTATATCGTCCAAACCGAAGTAATGACTGCACGCACTTGTGTTAAAATTTTTTTGTTGTACTTGCGTTGTTAAAGCGTTTTAAATCTGCGTAGCACAATAGAATCGATACCTCCGGGTGTGGACAAGCACACCATCACCGTGCTCGACATACAAAACAAATTCATCGTGTTCTCTGCGTCGATGGTGTCTGTCCAAGCGGTTCTGTCCGAGTGGGGTGGATTTTTCATACTCAGCGGGGACAACAAATTGTATCACTTGGACGAGAAGGACCTGCAGTCTAAATTAGCGTTGCTGTTCAAAAAGAATTTGTACGACGTTTCTATAAGGTGCGGCGGGTACAAATAGACTACTAACCTCTTCAAATAAATTGAGCAACGCACAATTGTTAACGCGGCATTGTGTTATTTTAGAATAGCTAAGAATCAGCAATACGACGCGGAGGGTCTCATAGACATTTTCCGTCAATACGGAGACCACCTGTACTCCAAGGGAGATCACAACGGCGCCATAGAACAATACATAAAAACGATAGGCAAGTTGGAGCCGTCTTACGTGATAAGAAAGTTCTTGGATTCTCAACATATCGACAATTTGACGACGTATTTGCAAGCGTTGCATAAAAATGGTCAGGCGACTGAGGATCACACAACCTTGTTGTTAAACTGTTACACCAAACTCAATCATACTGACAAACTCAAAGAATTCATCATGGTAAGTTGAAAAATGTCTCGCGGGTATGTGCTGATCTCTCCATACATGATATGTATAAAATTCACAGACAAAAGATCGCGAGGTTGACTTTGACGTAGAAATAGCAATAAAAGTTTGCCGTCAAGCGTCTCCGGACGATGCTCTGCTACTCGCGCAGAAACACAACAAACACGAGTGGTATCTTCGTATTCAAATCGAAGACAATCGGGAGTACAAAAAGGCGCTGGAATACATGGCAACATTAGAATTTGAAGAGGTAATACGTGCGTTTAAGGCGGTACTGGATACCGACTATAGAGACCTGTAAACCGACGTTTTTATAGCCTAAATTTCTTTATTTTTTAATTTTATTTACTGCACAACATTAAAAGCGCTTCTACAGAAGCAAGTAAATATACAAAACTAAAGCTTTTGAAAATGGGTATATAATGCTTTTTTGAACTTGTTTTTCATTCATAATGATAGTATATGGTATCAAATACACATCATCACGAATTCAGATTTCTCTCATCAATGAGATAGTCAAATCATAATTTGAATAGCTCATTCGATTCGTTTTTATCGTATGTTGGGTGCTAATTCACTGGAAATACTTACATAAGCTTAGAAATATTTCTACATACATAAATATATGAATATATGAGTGAGGTTATAGAAGAAAACTGTATAAGAAAAAATTTGTGCTGAATTTTGACATTCCAAAGAACAAGCGCCAATTCTTAGCACAATTTACTTATTTCTGGAGAAGCATTTTGGATTTGATGCAGTAAATACGACACAGAATCTGATTTAAGAACGTCGGTTTACAGGTCGCTATAGTCGGTATCCAGTATTCTCTTAAATGTGCTTACAAAAATATAAATTTATTTATTTGCTTTACAAAATCTCTCTATTTAGGCGGAAGCTAATATGAAGAAATATGGAAATATTTTAATAGAAAATGTGCCAAACGAGTCAACGCAGTTTTTGAAAGCTTTGTGCACAAATTACAAACCTTCGAATAAGCCTCTTGTCGATCAGGTACACATCTATCGTATTTAACTATAAAAAGATAATAAAAATTGTAAGATTTTTTTTTTATTAAAATTTTCTCTGTTTTCGGCAGGACGCGTTAAATGGCTACACGGAACAGCAAATTGATAAAGCCAATCCTGAGGATTTTATTCACCTGTTTTTAAATAATTCCGAGCGACTCGTGGAGTTCCTGGAGCACTTAGTTAAATCGGATACAAAGTCATTACATATATTTTATGTACAAGAACGATCATTTTTTATATTGTAAAGTTGACGTTTTTTCTTGTTTTTGTAGATGGAGTACGCTTGTGTACAACACATTAGTCGAACATTATTTGCACGTCTGGTCGGCTCTGAACAGTGACGTTGCTAGGGTGCAATATGAACAAAAGATCGTGCGGCTTCTGCAGAATTCCGAAGCGCGTTACGACAAAGACCAAATATTAATACTTTGTCATCAGCATAATTTCAGAAAAGGATTGCTCTTTCTTTACGAAGAGAACAAATTGTAAGTCTCGGGTCTCGTATATTCATTTTACAAAAAATTATATTTTCAATAGAAACATTGAGTATATTTTGTCTTAGATATCAGGAGATATTGAGGTTTCACCTGCGCGAGGGAGACAGCGAGCAAGTTCTGGCCACGTGCAAGAGGTTCGGCCATCAAGATCCCAATTTGTGGGTGCAAGCTCTATGGAGCGTGGCTAAGAACAAGGACGCGCCAACGAAACTTCTCGCTGACATATTGGCTTATATCGGTAAACACCCGCTTGAATTTGTCTCAATCGCGTGTTTTTGGAAAAATGAGCGAATACGGTGTAAATTATTATTTTTGCAGCTCAAGAAAGACTGTTGTCCCCTTTGATGGTTATCGATGCGATTTCCACGTCGTTGACCTGTACGTTGGGTGACGTTAGGAGTTACTTGTGTAGCGTGTTGCGAACGGAGAACGAGCAAACCCAAGCGGACGCCGATCTAACGGAAAAATACAGAGCCGACACTTTGAAATTACGAGAACAAATAGAAGCGATAAAAAACAGCACGATAATCTTTCAGGGATCGCGCTGTAGCGCGTGCCATCATCAATTGGAGTTACCGTCGGTGCATTTCATGTGTCAACATTCGTATCATCAACAGTAAGATCTTTTATATTAATTTGTGTTTCGTGTTCGCTTTGATTTTATTGTTCGATTTTTCTCGCCGCAGTTGCTTTCAAAGTTTTTCGGAAAATGAAAACGAGTGCCCGGCGTGCCTGCCGAACAACAAGAAACTTCTTGACATCATACGAGCGCAGGAGCAGTCGAGAGATCTGCACGAGACGTTTCACAGTCTTCTCGACCGCGCGGAAGATCCATTTTCTTTGGTAGCCGATTATTTCGGCAGAGGCGTTTTCAAGAAACTGACCGTAATCACCGATTCGGACAAGTCGTTGCTCACGCCGACCAAGTTCGAAGAGCCCAAGTTAAATTATGGCCCGGGTGCGGAAGCGAGGCTCAGGTTGAACGAAGGGAAGAGTTCGATCTCAGGTACGACTTGATGTGTCATTCGAAATAGCGCGTGAAAATCAACATCAAATCGATGCGTATTTTTCTGTTTCATTTTTTTTCCAGGAAAAGCGGATCCTCGACGAGCTGGATACGACGTTCCCACGTTGATAACGGAAGAGCGTTACCGAGGTTTTGCCAAGTCGGACGTGTATTCCTCGTCGTTGGAAGCAAACATAACGGGGAGTGGCTTGTCGACGCCGCGAGGCAATTCCGCGAAGGCTTCGCCGGTGCCAATCAGAGAGGCTCGTATTTTGAACAGCACCACGCCAAAATCGTCACCGATCGAAAAGCCTTTCGTCCCACCAAAGACCCCGATCGTACCGTCGAATCCCTTCGAAGACGATTACGACGAATCTAAGAATCCTTTCGCCAACGACGATGATGACGACGACGCGACCAATCCTTTTAAAGATGATGACAACGACGGGGCTGGCGATGACGATTACAATAGAAATCTAAATCCGTTCGGCAGATAAACAGACTTGCACTTTCCGCATATTCGAGTTCCAAGAGAGAATGTTGTGTGTGTGTGTGTGTGTGTGTGTGTGTAAACATGATCGATAAATGATTTTTGCGATACGTAAACGAAAAAGACGATAATGTCGAGTATATGTTGAAAAGCATTGCGAAGTATAAATTTTCTGAAATTATATAATATAGCATGTGTAAACTCTCTTGTATAGTACATATGTATCAAATTTTATATGCTATGTAAATTTAATTTTAGCACATAAGTATTGTATTCTTCTTTTTACCTCTCTCTCTTTCCCCGAGAGAGAAAGAGAGAGAGTTCAAAGACTTTCGCTGTACACATCTTAGATATACATACAATATATATACATGTTACATGGCTTAATATATGGATCTGATACAAAGCAAAGAAATATTTATTGCGTTTTCTGCGGGTGAGATACACACGCGATATCTAAAACTCTGTCAGAATTCTCTAAAATTTCTTCTACGAGACGAATTCTGTGCTACGTTGCGTTTACTCATTTAAGCATTTAATTAAACGTTAAGACAAAACTCAGAAAAGAAAAGTTGTACACACACACTTTTCACGTTAATATAATTGTTTACATTATTTACACTTTGGCTGTTTGAATAAATTTACATGTTATATACATTTCTACATGTATATTACTCTGTTTTTACAATACATCGCGCGTTTTTCTCTTTCCTCCTTGAAATATATTCTGTTATTCGTGTATAAATTGCTTTGGTGAAATAAAATAAAAATATAAAATAAAATTAAAATAAAAAACGCTTTATTTATTTAAAACTCTCATGAATGCGAGATAATACGTACGAGTTTCTTTTAAATAGTACTTTACCGATAGTAAATCACCGTTTACACGATCACACATCGAATAACTAATGTTGCCAACCGACAGAATTTTTCGCGCTGAACGTGTCGCGCGCTGCCATCGCCGCTGTGTGAGCGACAATGAAGAAGTGACATCTATTTACAATTCTTTATTCTCGGGCGATACTGGCGGTATATGACGTCATTGTTGAGCTCCGAAATTGAAATCAATAAGCTATGTGCAATGTCGTGTGTACACATCATGGACAATGGAAAATGGTGATGATGCCAGAATTTCGCATACATTTCAACTTGCTTGATCGTTGAGATCGACGAAGACGAATGTCCTTTAGCAAAATGGCTCGAAATAATAAGAAGAGACTTGCGATATTCGTGACTACATCAACATGCATCATTTACGTAAGTCAGTTCGTACATTTATTTACGAATTGAGCGATGTTTATGTTGTTTTTATTTTTTATTTGGTTCGCACCTCGAAGATAAACGAAGTTTGTCGGGATACTGCATTTCAATAAAGAATGACATTTCTTTCAGGCAGAAGCAAAGTATTGTTCCTCAGAAATGCCTGGAGAAATAAAATACTATGAGTGAGTTATGCGTTTTTTGAAAATTGTATATTTAACACAATTTTATTTTATTTAGTCAGAAGAGTCGTGTCATCAAGACAAGTATATGTTTACATTAATTAATTAGATTAATAATGTAAAATAAACTTAGATGAATTTAAAATAGTATTAGATATACCGGAAAGAGTTCTGTCCGTTTTTGGAATAAAACAAAATAAAAATTTTTCTTATCGTCAATAAACTTTATTAAATAATATAATTGCCATTATTATTAATGATTTCTTGCCAGCGTGAGGGCAATTTGTATATCCCATTTTTGAAAAATTAAGAAAAATTTGTATTTTGTTTTACTCCAAAAACGGACAGAACTTTCCGGTAGACCTAATATTTGTTATCTGTGTGTCACTATGTATATTGAAAGTTGACGTTCAAAAATGTTTGCAGATGTTTAAGAACTGAATATTGTTGCACTTTTGGCTGTTGCGTGTCACCAGGGCAATATTTCCATCAATTATGGTACTACTGGTAAGTAAACACTTACCAGTAATAAAACAAATGTTTTTTTTTTTTTTTATAAAATATAAAAAGAAACTCTAAAGAAAATGAACATGATTAATTTTCACAGGATTCTAGTCATATTTATGTTTCTTCTGTGTTCTGGCGGAGGCTGGTGGTATCGATATTGGTTACAAGGCAGATACAGAGCCGCTGCTTCCACTATTCCATCCCGATCTTCCACTACGAGATCTCAAACTTCTATTCGTAACACACCTTACCAAGCACAGCGAGCTCGTATCACATATAATTCAGCGAGAAATACCGTCTTATTACATCGTATGAAAGGTATTTTTTAGAAAAAGTAAAAAAGAGAAAAAGAAGAGAAATTTATAACATTATACTCTTATGATATTTGTAAATTTGTATTTTTNTTTTTNTTTTTTTTTTTTTTTTTCATTTGTATTTTTAGGTCCTCAAAGAAATATAGCGGCACCACCGTACAACAACAATGCAACCACATCGGGACATTATCAAAATATGAACGTTGTGTTGAACGACGCAACAAATTGTCCTTACTATCAACTCTACGGTCCACCGCCTAGTTACGAGTCTGTGATGGCTCAGACACGCGGCAAGATGTCTACTCCGGCATCGCCGGAGTCTACTGCCGCGCGGTTGAATTTACAGTCGCCGAATGTAATAACGAATCCGAGCGTGTCGCAATGTTTATTTTATTCGTGCGACTCGCCCGCGAGATTAGTTAACGATAGCTCAAATCAATGTTCAAGCGATATCGCGAGTTGTCATCAGCACGATGCTCTTCACCAGAGTGTTCCGTTCGCGCATTATTCACAATATTGTACGGGAGCCGGCGCGACTAGTCAGAACATGTGTATTCCATTAGAGTATCCCGAGGAATCGCTCGCTTCCGGTGGAGTTAATTTTAGTCATTCTCTGCAGAACAGGCCGCAACGACTGCTGGAGAGATTGTCCGACATGTCAGACGCGGAAACCTACGAGGTTCCGAACAGAGAGACAACGCTGAACGGCCCCGGCAGGGAGTACAGTCCGTGGCATGTGAATAATAGTCACACAGCGTTGAAGGTTCACAGCAAGATCGAACAACGATCGCCTCCGCAAAGATGCGCGGCAATTGGGGAGACGCGCGCTTCCTCGTCCAAATCCGAAGAAAGCGAAAGCGAGAACGAAGCAAAGTGTATGTTTTTCGCGACGCAGGACAACATCTCGACGAGGGAACGCACGAATCATCGTGGTTCTCTGCGATTACCGCGCAAACACAACGGCGGTGGAATTTACCAGAGCAACAGCTTCCCGAGAGATTCCCCGAAGGATCTGCCGAGTTCTCATCTGAATGTTTTTGACTTCACGTCTAAATCAACTTCCGAGAACGCGCCTCCCGTCGTGAGCACTTCGGAACGCGCTGACGCCGTTACAAGTCCCTCTCAATCAAATCCATCCAATAATGTGATATTAGAATCCTTTATTTTTGAGAACGCGCGATCGTCTCCGTTGTACGAAAACGTCACAATGAATCGGAGTACAAACTTTGATCTTGAAAGTAAACACAAATTAGACAGATCGAAGTCGCTAGACTGAACGTAATACTGAGATTCTCTCGTTATTACGCGATGCTTATTCTTGTATGTCTCTGTTGTTCGCGTGTGTAAACTCGTACAAATCTTGATCGTTCGTTATCAAGATACGTCGCATCAATATATACAGTTTCTTCGCGATTTACTAGATAGGAGATAATTTTATTTTAATAGAAATACTCTGATACTATTTTCTTTAATACACTTGCATGTGTGATATATACATATATATTTAATGTAGCTATAAGTATCTCGCGTATTTATACCGCGTTAATTTTAAAAATTTCTTTGTCTCATTTTGGTCGTCGATTTTTAATACCGAAATTTCGTGCGCATTGTTATGTAAATATAGAATGTTTCTAAACTGAATGTCACAAGTAGAATCACACGTGTGAGCAAAGTTACGTGAAAGCAAAAAATTTAAGCCGAATATTTTATCATAAATTTTCGAATCTGATAAAAGTAACGATATTGAGACGTCAAGCGAGAAGAAAAAGTTGAGTAATTCGAGTAATGGCCCGTCGGGCAAAACACAAAGGTCAAGCTGTGTGTCCAAGGGCAGTGCCGTTGTTAGAGTTCTTGTATATTGATTTTCTGTGAACGATAAGACGCTACACAGCTCTCGGGTGACGAGAATCTCGGTTCGTCACGTCTAAAAAAAAAACTGTAAAAGACTTTGCAATTTGTTTGTTTTTTTTGTTGTTTTTTTTTTTTTTATGTGTTTTCATCCTTTCACACATTTATATGACATTTATGTTTTATGATATTCAATTCAATACTCTGTATATGATGCGCACATGCCCTCTCTCAATGAATTAGGTCATTGTGTGTATTTAAATTGCACTTCCGCAAGTACTTCTCCGTGGAAATAATTTCCGCAAAATTTCGAAGTTAAAAATCTATTTTGATTACATATTGATATTTAATCTGCGTATAAAATACGATATACATACATACGTGATTCTCTTTCTTCGCATCCGCTGATGAAGCATTTTTTTCCCGATATCTGCCACACACATACTGCCACGGAAATGATGATGAATCTCGGATGTCGTACGGAGATGTACAGAGGCACACTGATCGAATTTTTCATTTTTCCGCACTACATTTAAAAAGAAAAAAAAAAAACAACGTAACTTTAAGATTCTCGGAAAAAAAACGGTGAAAACTGCTTCAAAAGCGCGTGTTTCACCACCAGCCAGCGGCCCAAAGCAATTCTCACTTACGCACAAAAAACGAATATCATTCATTTATCCTATATCTATAAGCAAAGAATTAGCGCACGTTTTATCAGCTCTCGAATAAAAAAACGCACTTACGAGTCCTTTGCGAAAAGGATTAGGACCTCTTTCTAATAAAGAAGAAAATTATAAAGATTTATTTTAAATATTATATGACATATATATTATATATAAACATTTCGACGCGTATATATATATATATATATTTTCTAATAATGATATATCGAACAATGGTCGAAATGGTCTCATTTTTCAAGCACAGTGTATTTCCGTCAAACTAGTCGTCTGTGTACATTTAAGCCTCCACACAAGTATGCGTGTTAATATTAAATATTAATATTGCATATTAATGGTTCGCTTTAGGCGCGCTTTGGGCGTCACAGTCTTTGTCCGATATTTAAAAAGCAATAAAAAAAAAAGGAAAACAAAAAGAAAGACGGACCGGACGCTTAAAGACGCGTCTAGCACTCAAAGCGAACGCACTCCGTTATTTCGATATTTAATAACGCATAAATTTAATTACACTATCTACACGTTACACACACCTACTAGTGTTAAGATATTATATAGTTATTCAAAAGGAATTCTAATTTGTGTTACGTAAAATGAGATATACCGCGCTTTAATAAGAAAACAATTATGACCGCGCGAGAGAAAACAGAGCTAAAAAGCAGAAGTGTGCAAAAATAAATTGTACAGAGTGAATTTGAAATACGTACCACTAAGCAAATCTGGAATGAGATACTTTTCTTGAGATGAAAAGAAACTGGAGAACAGACGAACGTAAATAGAGTGTTCTGTTAAATCTCAAATTACACTTGCAGGGTCTCGACCCCACGCGTCAGAGATTTCGTATTTAACGTTTAAACATGTTCATCTGCTATACTATCTTCATCGCAAAAAAACATCTGTGGTTATTGTAAAATCACTCTGTACATTACGAAAAGAATTAATTGATATACAATCTTATAATTATACAATCATGTTTGAATGTGTAACATGATCATTTCTTCGTGCGTAATCATTAAACAAAAATATATTTAATACTATTCATATAATAATTTATACACGAGATATTCGGTAATGATCGTATCACTTCTTGTAGGCAAGTTGTATCCAGTTGAACAGTATTTTATTATTTTATATTTAAATATTTATTATTGCGAGATTTGCAATAATTAATTTGCAAAACTGAATTGTTAATTAACAAAAATCCGCCAAAATGAGCGTAATTGTGGTGGGCAAGTAGATAAAGAGTTGCGCCACAAGTCTTGCCATTTTGTGAGATTCGTGATGACACATAAGTTGTTTGTTAAGAAAAATCTGTGAGTCAGCGCATGCGTCCGCGTGAAGAGACAGCCCAGTTGTTCTCGCGCTCCCGGTTGCTAAGCGCGTACGGCGATTCGAGGGGAGGGGTAGATAAAACTTGCAGATAATAACACGCGTGATGTAAAAATG